TGCCAGGGAGCGGTGGCGAGGCTGTGCACGGAGGACGGTGCATTAGGGTAGAACAGGGGCCGGTGCAGCGGCAACCTTTGCAAACCAGAGAGCCAAAGTACATCAGAATTCAGAAGCGGTCAGTGGAGAGCCGTATAAGAATGAAAATATACGAGTTAATAGTATTGATCATTCACGTGACTTAATATAGCACAAGGGAAACATTGTACTCAGACTTCATTTAATGGGACTTCTGCTGCTGGGGGTGCAGGAATCAGGGTTGGGGTGTATGAAGGGCTCAGGGCAGGGGGCTGGGGTGTATGGGAGGTGCAGAAAGCAGGGCATGATGCCCGGGTTGGGAAATAGAGTATGTGGAGGGGGAGTCCTGGGTCTAGATTATCTTGCCTGACCAGGGCTGCGCTACTGCGCCTGGGGAGCAGTGACTGGACAAGGGGCGGGGGCAGGATCATCACAGCCAGATTGTGGCATGGGTAAGAGATGCCACAAGCAGGAGCGGGGACACCACTAGCCCTTCCTGTGGCAAGATGGGTGCTGGACCGCAGGGCCTACCCCACAGGGGGAGTCCTGGGTCTAGATTATCTTGCCTGACCAGGGCTGCGCTACTGCGCCTGGGGAGCAGTGACTGGACAAGGGGCGGGGGCAGGATCATCACAGCCAGATTGTGGCATGGGTAAGAGATGCCACAAGCAGGAGCGGGGACACCACTAGCCCTTCCTGTGGCAAGATGGGTGCTGGACCGCAGGGCCTACCCCACGATCAGAGCCAGGGGCAGCTTGCCCCCCCCCCCCCCCCACCCTGCATTGAGGCCTTGTTCGCCAGGCTTCATTTTAAATAAAGTAAAATATTATGTCCAAAACACATGGTTTCAACATTGTCTTTATTTATGGTAAGAGTAGGGAACTTTTTTCTGTTGGGGGGCCACTGGCCCACAGAAAATCAGAGGGGGACCCCAAATGAGAAGAAAACAAAAACCCCATCCCTCTCTGAAGCCCCGTGGGGGAAAGGGACAGGGAGGATTGAGGTTCAAGTCCTCAGCATAGATGAATTCTTCTGGGGTTCCAGGGATTTTGTGGGCTGCACTGGGATGGGGCCAGAAATGAGAGGTTCAAAGTGTGGGACAGGACTTTTAGTGAGTAGGAGTTGGGTTAGAATTGGGGTGAAGTAGGAGTTGAGGGTGCGAGGTCTGGGTGGGAGGTTGGGTGTCTGGTCAGGGGGGAGGAAGGCAAAAAATGAGGGGTTAAGTGTGTGGGACAGGGCTGGGGTTAGGGATATGGGGGTGCAGGATCCAGGCAGGAGGTGGGGGTGCAAGGTCTGGGTGGGAGGTAGGGTGCAGGAGCAGGCTGGGAGTAGGGTGTCTGACTGGGGGCAGGGAGCAGGCTATCTGGCCGGGGACAGGGTGTCTGGCCGGGGGCAGGAGTGAGCTGGGAGCAAGGTGTCTGGCCAGGGGGAAGGAGGCAGGACCAGGCTACGGGTGTAGGGTTTCTGTGGAGGGAGTGATTAAGTGAGTGGGGTACAGGGTCAGGGCATGATGGATTGGGGGAGCATTTACTTGCTTTTGTGCCCTGCTCTCAGGCACAGCCTCCCACTGCTCGGCCAATACGAGCAGCCAGGAAAGCCTCCAGGAAGTACATCCCTGAGCTGCTGTTACCCCAGCTGGGGAAGGGAAGTGACCATGCATGCAGCTGCTTCTGGCTCCGCTCCGCAAGACCGATCTGACAGGGAGCCTCGGAGCTTTCTCCTCTCCCACCCACTGCAGGAAGCCGGGTGCTGGCACTAAACTCTTGCAGGCTACCTGCTGTGGAGGGAGTGGGGGTGGGGCTGAGCTGGAGCTGCAAAAGAGCCATATTTGGCTCTGGAACCATAGGTTGCTGACCCCTGAGTTAGGAGAACGGAATGGAACTAATTAGGACAATGGAATGGGAGGGTATTTTTCCTGTTCTGTGCTAACCTCTTGTGCATCCTATCATCAAAAATCATGCCGCCTTTGCCTCCAATTCTCTGCTAGAAGAGTCAGTCTCTACCACCTGCTTCAAAAGAGATGTTATTCATTTTTATGACTGGTTTGGAAATGCAAGTCCTCTATAAATGCTAGGTGTATCTAATGTTAGCTTGCTCAATTGATTTTTAGTCTGTTACTAAATGGACATGATAGAATTATAGGAAAATAGCAAGTGTTCAATAAATATTTCTGTTTTATATATGCAGAGGGAAAATATGTTGTAGTTATTAGGGATATAAGCTGCTAGTTGAGTAGTCAATTACCCGATAAGCATATGCTTATTGGGTAGTTGAGTCACTACTCAGCTAGTCACTTCCTCCTCCCCCCCCCCCACCACCCCCACCACCCTTGCTGCCTCTAATAGAGGCAGCAAGGGGGGAGGAGGAGCCAGTGCTGGGAGGAGCTGACTTAAGTCGGTTCCCTCAAGCACTGTCTCCGTAGGAGGTAGGGGAGGCAGAGACTCAGCGTTGGACTGAGCGCAAGCCAGGAATCAGCTATCCTGTCTCCTGCCCAGTCCCAGAAGCTGCGCCTCTGCTTTTGAAATGTAGCAAGTGCTGCCTGTGGTTCTTGCTACACTTCAGAGGCAGAGGCACAGCAGTCGGGACCTACCATGAGCCAGGACAGCTGATTCCTGGCTTGTGCCCAGTCCCCCGCTTCACCTCCGCCTCTCCTCTCAGGTTTCCCACTGCACCTCTGCCTTTGATATGGAGCAAGAGCCGTGGATGCTCTTGCTACACTTTAAAAGTAGAGGTGCAGCAGGGATAGCAAATGCCCCCCTTTCCTTGTCGACTAGTCAATGGACATTCTGAGTTTGATGATGAAGAAAATAGTGTTGATGTAACGTTCTTAGATATCTGTGTGGGGTTTGACTTAGTACTGCACATTTTGATTACAGAATTGGGCAATATAAAATTAAAGTGGTACCCATTAAATAGATAAGCCTGGGTTTATCGGTTAATCCAAACGACTACATGCACTCCCCTCCCTCTGCTGTCTCTGTATCAGCAGCAGCAAGTCGCGGGGGGGAGGTGGGAGCCAGTGCCCATGGGGTTCTGGCTTTTAAGCCAGTCAACTGCTCCCCCACTTCTCTGATAGAGACGCAGCAGCAGAGGGGCCATGTGGGAGCTGATACATGTGGGGAGCTGACTCTTAAGCCAGCTCTCCGAATGTGCCTACTCTGTGGAGCTCCCCTCCACCAGTTTGATTCAGAACAAGTCACCTGAAACCAAACTCTTCCTAGGTGGCCACTAATTGTGTCTTCTAATTTTGTAGGTGCCAAACTTGAGACACCTGGAGCTAGAGTTGCAGAATTTCTGAGGGTTCACAACTGCAACTGAAGTCAGTAGAAGCTTTCCTCTGAATGTATAAAATGCTAGGTGCTCTGAAAAGTCAGTCTATAGGCAACTCATATTCTACACCCCAAGTTAGTGGATGATTTTGACCTTGAATTTTTATGTGCCTTGGTTCCCCCAAATGAAAAGGGTGAAATTACCCCTCCTTAGAGAGATATTGGAATGATTATTAATTAATATTTGTGAAACACTTGGTTGGTACGTTGATGAGTGTAATAAGAAGGCCCATGAGGAAATTATTAATTTTTGAGTGGAAGGTTTGGATATTGTGTAATATATAAAACATGTAGTCACACACTTTTTTTTTTTAAATCTGAATAAATAAGACAATAGTTATCCATCCCTAAGTGCTGTCCCTCTTGCGAAATGGGTGAAGCAGAGGTATTGTATAAGACTATCATAATTAGGCTTGACAAAATTCTTTTTTTAAATTGTGATAAAATAAACATTGACAGTATTCAAATTTTTCTGATTTTTAGTGAATTTTGCACATTTAAAAAAAATAGGGGGAGTAAGCAATTTTTATCAATGTAAACACGATTATGGATTATTGCAGCAGAAATTAGTTGATTATTTAATGACAGTAGATGTCAAAGTTAAAGCTTTTATATCAGTTAAACAGAAATTGTCAATATCATTTGTCAAAATATTCAAAATCTCTTTAAATCTAACTCTAAGTTCTCAAGCAGTATTTTTCTTACATTGCCTATCTGTACATTTTGATTATTTCCTATGCCAGTGTTTCTCAAAGTGTTCCGTGAACCCACTCTGAAGGAGCTGCTAATGGGCCTGGTTTGCATTAGCTCCAGGTGACCATTTGCAGCCAAGGAGTGCTACAAACCACAGCCAATGGGTGCCCTGAGGTTCTGTGACTGCGGTGCTGGTAAATAAACTCAAGTGGACCTGTTATCAGCTCTCTGAGTGGGTCCATGGACCACGTTGAGAAACACTGACCGATGGAAATACTTTGTTGGGGAGGGGGGGGGTGTGTGTGTGTGTGTGTGTGTGTGTGTGTGTGTGTGTGTGTGTGTGCGCGCGCGCAATGAAACTGACGTTGTCTGATTTAAGATTCAATCCTTCTAAGCCTAGTCATATTTTAGGCGTACAGTGGGGTTGAAGTATGGTTGTTTAGACATCCTTTATTCAGGCATTTCCTAACTTTAAGTGCGTGACTTTGCAACCTCAGTGCTTTAAAGAAAACTTCAGTTTTCAACCTTACTCCTTGCATTTCTCTCATCTTGGACAAAAAAAATCAGTTATGTTCCATCTACCAGTATCACTTTTACATGTTTGCTTTTTGGGTGGCAAAAAGCAAAGGGAAGTGCATGCTTATTTTCCTAGCCATGTAAAAATAAAGAGAAGAGGAGATGGATGTGATTTAATTAGGCTGCAGTAAATTATACTGTGCAGATCATCTTTCTTTAATAATTTTAACCTATTTGGGAGGGCTCCCATCATTCCTCCTCCTTCCCAATCAGGTCTATTGCTAGGACTCCACAACCCTCCCTTCATATGAGTTAAGGGAGAGGCGCCCAGAAAAGAGGGAGCATGTCCCCCTGCAGTACCAGATGTTAGGCACCCCAATTCCTCTTTTTCTAGCTTCCTTAGGAGATGTCTCACTCTAAATCTACTTCCAACTTCGGTTGATTTGGAAACCTTGTCTGTCTCTCACAAGTGTTTGCACAGGACACCTGCCATACCTGTTATCTACTCGGTTGAAACATCTTGACCTAACCTTTTTACCTGACCTGTTGTGGGGAAGGTGCAAACATCCACTCTACCAATCTGATCATGGAAAGAAAAATTCCTTCCCACCTTTCAAACAAAAGGTGACTAGCCTGGCAGGCACAAACACACAGTAGATCCTAGAAACTGGTCCTGCCTGATGCTGAGGGTGGGCACTGCTCATCAGTGACTAGGAAAGAGAATTTATTCTGGTATAAGTTCCTTCCCCTTTGCTTCTTGTGCATAGTGGGTCAGTGCCTTCACCTGGTCAAGTCACTTCCTGTTCTCTCCTTGGATTCAGTCAGGTAGGTCTGTTTTCTTTTCCCCGCTGTCAAAACCTAAATATAGTAGGGAATAGTAAAGATGCCCCATTGTTTTTCCTGCTCCCCAGAAAAAGAGTTACAACATTCAGTAGAACTAAGTACATTTTTTAACGTAATTATCTCTGCTGAGATGTAGAAAACAAAATTGTGGTGCTATGATGACTTTAAATGAACCTAACTTACAGGTAAATTTTAATCTTCATGTCCCTTTTAATGTATCTATTTTACATAGGGATGCTGCAAAGGCACTTAATTTCACAAACTAGAAAACAAAACCATAGGCAATACAGCCTACAAAATAGTAAACTCAAGGCCAGAATACTCATTAAAATAACACTTCCAGTTACACAGTAAACAAACCTCTTCCCTTGCACTACATAACATCAACAAAGAAAGATACCTTGAATCTAAACTCAAAAGATGTAAGTGACCTAATATGGAGGTTTATTAATGGCTTGGGGATTTCTCAGGTTTAATTCCTTTAGTTCCGAGACTTATAATTATTAGACAGCTGAAATTGCAATGCATTAGTTTAAAAAGGGAAGTAATTTTATCCTCTGAATAGTGATGAAGTTGTGTTTTTATGTGATGGTAATTAGATCATTATATGTTTACCAAGTTCTCTAGTTTTTGTTTTTATTTTAAATGTATTTCTATACGGGATTGTGTTCTCACTTTGACACAAATGTATGGGATCAAGAGAACAGATTTGTCATCAAAACATTACATACATGATGATCCATGCTACTACAGTGATAACAGTTAGGTAACAATGTAAAATAATTACTCTTTAAATGAAAATGTTAAGGAACATGAAATATATACTTGCATCATATTCAGTCTAGTACGAACTTTTTAAAATTAATAAAGACATGCTATCACATGTCTTCAGGATTCTCATAAAAAAATTTCCCATTCCATATTCAGCCTGCCTGAGTTATGATTATAGTAGTCAAATGTCTCTTATCTTGTAATATATTGTTGTACTTGCATAAAATAATTCACTTTAATGAGACTGGTCTCCTGTAGCTACAAAAACTAATGATCCAAATTCCTTTCCCGTGCTTCTTCCTGGTTTCTCACCTATGTGATTGTGAGCAAGCGGAGAAAGGAAGGCCTGGGATAAAGAAAGCCTCTAGCTCTGCTCTACTTTACTTGCAACCAATGCTAGACCTGGAGGGAGGTGAAAAGGAAGGAGCCTGTCTCAGTTGGGGGTTGAGT